TATGTTTCTTGGGTCCAATGCTACAACTTCATTATACACTCACCTGTTCAACTGCTTGTAAGCACAAATATTTAATCAGGCAATCACGTAGCAACATCCAAGCATGCAGACACACTCAAAGAGACCTGCTGGAGTAACTTAAGAGACTTTAAATGTGGCATGGTTGTTGGTCTGAGTATTTAAGAAACTGTTAATCTACATTTCCCTCAGAGTCATCTCTGGAGTTTACAGAGAATGGAGAAAATATCCTGTGAGCAGCAGTTCTCTGAGTTAAATAGCTTGTTAATGCTGGAAGTCAGACGAAAATGACCAGACTACTTCGAGCTAAAAGGAAATGAACAGTAAGTCAAACAACCACCAGTGATGCAGAAGAGCATCTTTGAATGCACAACACATCAAACCTAGAAACAGATGAGCTACAGTGGCAGAAGACCACACCAGGTGCCACTCCTCTCACTTGTGACTATGCTTGATAACTAACAGTAGACAACAGCAGCAGGAGGCTTGGGTTACTCCAGTTTATCTGTGATTCAGTGCTGACTGAAAACATCTCTGATTTGTGATAACATGCAGGCACCCGTCCTTTATTTGTGAGTTCATAATAATATTCCAGGTGTAAAAAGACAAAAAAAATGTTTTGTTTTTGTTTTTTTGGCTGTCTGAAGTAAAACCTATAAGTGGGAATAGCCCAAGAAAAAGATCCGTCAGAGGGAGAGTATTAGATTCCATGTGGGTGGCCTGATAAAACAAAGTCGGTCATAAATCTGGAGTTATAAACACTGTGCTTTTAGACCAAATCCACGGAGAGCGGAGCACAAACCAATCTCTATGCCTCTTTCCTTCTCTCTTACTATATATCCTCGCTCGCTTCTCCCATTACCTCAAAAACCCACTTCCTCTATAAACTTGGCTGGCCTCATCAATAGGAGAAGAATGAACGTAAGAGTTAAGAAATGTATTTCACGCCACAGTGAATCGCGGAACAAGTAAGGTCTGTCCACAGTGTGCAAGGAGTATACAGAAGCATGAACGATTTGGAGTTGGCATCCTTTTGAGTCCAGACTGTAAATTGTCTGATTACACGCACCAAACAGCATTTAATTACTGGCCAAAACTGACTTTGGGGCTTTAAATTGCTTAACGCATAATGACGAGTACCTACAACCTAAATGATACTGCAGAAACCTTCTAATAGCCGGCCCACATGACCAGTGTGCAGCTCTTTTGGGAAAGTTAAAGACGGTTATGCAACATGAAGCAAAGGGAAGATGGGCCACATTCCTGCTGCCTGTTAAAGTGAAAACTACTGCAGCTGTAGGGGAAACACACACACACACACACACAGACACACACACATCCAGGAGGACTTACAACGCATCCATTGGAGGCAAAGACAATATTTATGCCTCATCTGACCTATAAAGTGCTACTCTATACCAGAGAAATATGAATTTTACCCACACTGGGTAAGCTGTGGTTACTTTTTCCAAACATTTAATGAAGGACTTTACCAATGCATGATCAAACATGTTCAGTTTCAGCCATAAAATTAATATCTGTCAACATAATATTAAACATGTTGGTCAAAATTCTCTCATAGCACTGCCTTACATGAAAATCTGGACATCTGCATAAATATTAATAAGATTTTTCCCCAGGCAGTTTCAGTGTGAGGATCCAAACGTTTGTCAAACATGTAAACTTTAGAGATTAAAGGTTTCCGCTTTAGTGAAGAAAAAAAAAAGCTAATGGTTATATTAAGATTTTACATTTTACTCACCTCTGGTTCAACAACAAACCAGCCTTTTCCTACCATCTGCTCCCATTACCTCTCATTCCTTCACTCCCCCCACCTCCCTTCCTTCCCTCCATTTCTCTCCTCTCCCTGTTCTATTTTCATCCTGTAACTTTTTTTAAAACCAGAAAGTTTCCTTCCAACTCTCTCCTTTTTTTGCTCCCTGCCTTTCTCTCTCCATCTCTCTCTACCTGACACTTGGCTCGCCTGCCTGCCGTGCACCAAGACAAAACGTTATGACCTCACTTCGGTGCAATGTTCCAGAGAGACACGGAGAGACAGAGCAGCGAAGGATGAAATAACAGGAGGTAGAAATATAGAAGAATTGGCATTAAGAAAAGATAAGTGGAGATGGGATGAGGGTATAAAGTAGAAATGCAGCCTGGAGAAAAGAAAACAGCTAGGATTGGCAACATCTGGATGAGGACGGGAGAAGAAATGGGGACTGGAATGATGCAAAAGGGGCACGGGAGGAGGAGGAGGAGGAAAAACAACAGAAATTAATGGGAGATTTTGATGTCAGGAAACTGCACCATGGCTGAAATAAGCCATGTCTCCAGAAAAGGAAAGAAAAACGCTCCTTCTTCCTCCCGTTCTTCATCCCTCCCTCGCTTTAGGAACTTGCCTGCGATCCATTTTAGCTTGGCACTGTTGTTATTACATTCAGTCCAAATCTCTCTCACACACAGAGCACCAGTGCTGCAGGACCCTAAACACAGTCACCTGGCAAAAGTCTATGCTCTGAAGATTTGGAGCAAAAAAGAGGCACTGATATAGTCCAGACGAACAACATGCATGGGCTCACACATACACAGAAGTATGACTAAAGAGAATAAAGAGAAAACCAGTTTTATACACATGCGGGCGACACACAAATAAGAGTGCACCGGACACAATTACACGCACATAGCCAGTACTGCTGGAAGTCATCAAACCCTTCAGTTACTGCAACAACTTCCCTTTTCCCTAAACCCATTTCCTGCCCGATGAGGGTCACTCGCCAGCTACTGCTGCTGTCACTAAGGACAATCGATTGCAAACAAATGAAGAGCAAACGTAACTGATGCAAATATTATTATCAGTCAAACCAAAAACAGCCCTGTGGACTGGATGCTGAAGCCGTGGAGCCGCACGCAAAGCTACATAATTGTTTGTTTTGAGCAAATAAAAACAACAAGGATCAGATTCCTGAAACACAGACACAGCGACAAATCTCAAGTAACCACAACAGTCGCTATGATAAGCATCTGATGATGTAAGAAAACTGAAGTCTTGGACGTTAGGTCTGCACCTTCCTGTCCTTCCAGGCCTCAAACTCCATGAGGTGTGCTCTAAGCAAGAGCAGAGATGCATGGCAATCAGTGACACACACACACACAGCTACCTTTAAATTGTCTACTTAAATTGAGTAGAAAAGCTCCATATAAGTACCATTCGTCTTTAAAGCTTTCCCATGTTCCCTTCAGTTTCTCTTGACAGTTAGTAACCTTTATATTCCAATGATACAACAAGACAGACGGTCTCTCCCGGTGTTTAGACAGCAATAAGCAAATGTAACATTACATCAAACATCCACACGCATAAACCCAGTCTGTGTTTGGGAGAACTGTTTATTACATCCCCCCTCTATGATTCTGGCACGGAGACAATCGAAACTGGATGAAACAAATAAACGAAAACAGACTCGGCGGGCTTCAGTCCATTCCTTAATGCCCTTTGTCTGCAATCCGTTTAATCAAACTAATAACATCCTCTGATGTTTGTTTAAACACAGCTCGGCCTATAATGGCTTCTGTATTGTAACTAGCTATACGGGTCCCGAATGAAAGCGCTTCATAAAAGCAGAGATACACACAGGCACTGGGTGCAGCTGCACAACTGGGAGAGCAGTGCGATGCTAACAAAAACAACAAGAGCGCTTACAGGACTGGTGGAACTCGAAAATAAATGTTCAATATTCTACCAAACGTTTCTCACGCTACATCTGTGCTACCTTGAGTAACAGGGAAACAATGAACCTCCAATTTTGAAACATAAAAACTGAAAGTGCGTGTCTGTGTGTAATACTGTGTGTGGTGTTCATGGCTTCTTTTTTGCAGCTAACAATGGCACATTTATATAATTGTTCAGGGACGTAGGTGAGCATTTGAGGTTAGATCATCCAAACTCAAAGATGTCAGGTAAAAAAAGAGAAAATCCATGAATGAAAGGTAACTCACCACTTTAGGCTTGGCTCTCTGTGGCGTGGGCGCAGATGGAGCGTCCTCCTTCTTCTGTGGTCCGGCTTCTGCCACTCCAGTGGGGCTGGTCTCGCTGGGTCCCTCTGAAGCTGACACTGCGCAGTGTGCTGAAAGCCCTCCTGGGCCCTCGGGGTCCCTTTCAGAAGTGCTCAGATCAAGGATGTATTTCTGCGTCACATCCTCCAGCGAAGGGGCCTCGTCTCCTGAAGGCCTGCTTCCGGGCGGGGGTTCTGTAGTGGATCGGACGGCAAAGTCTACCTCCTTGAGGGGCTGGAGTTGTGGAGGTGGGGAGATGGGGATGAAGGTGGTGGGCTCGCTGGTGTGGCGGGCATGCTTGGGTATGGTTTTGGGTTTGGACTGCAGTGGCAGTGGGGAAAGAGGAGATGCGAGCTTGGTTTGGTCGCTGCGGTCCTCGTGCCCCTCTGAGCCCAGCTCCGCCGGCTCAAATGGATCCTCAGGAGGGGAGAACGTCAACCTGTTTGGACGTTTTCTGGTGGGCCGACGATTCATTCTGGGAGACAGAGCTCCGGCTAGTTTAAGGTCAAAGTTAAACTTCTGGACCTCGTCCTCTTCACCTTGGTCTATGACATCACCATCTTCATCATCGTGGTATTCGGAGGGAGGGGTGCTTTCCGACAGGGAGCGAGCCTTTGTGACTTTATTGCTGCCATTCGGCTGCTGATGCACATGCGCATGTTTAGGTTTAACTTCGGGTTCCCACAGTTCCTCTCTCTGCTCGCTCAGGATTGGCTCGCTGCTGGAAGGTGGAATCTGGCCCAGGTGCTCCAGCTCACTGATTGGCTGAGTGCTGCCAGTCTGACCTCTGCACTGAGGGTCATTTTGAGAAATAAAAGGGGCATCACTACGGCGACTGGGGTCACTGAATGACTTCTTCTTGGGGGCTTTGCCATTGCTGTGCTCATCTGCCATCAGTCTGTCCATCGCACCTGGCTCAGCCACAATGTTCCTGATCACCCCACTGTAATCCCGAATGGCGTCATCACGAAGCCCGCCATCACTGCAAACTGACAGGTCACTGGCCACACTGCCTTTATATTCTGACAGCGTGCCCACAGAAGAGGCTTCTGGAGCACCTCCCCCTCCACCTTTGACAGACAAGGATCCTAACAGGTTGCTGTCCACAGAAGAAAAGTTGTTGTTCCCCTCTTCTGCCACAGAGCAGCGCCGCTGAGGCATGGGGTCACTGAGAGAGCGGTAGACTGTAGACTCCCCATTTCCCACAGCTGATCCTGTTGTTGACTCTGCATTGCTGCCATTACTGGAATCAGAGCCCGCGTTACCAGAGGGGGAGAATTTGCGCCTTCGACGGACAGCGTTCGGGGTTGCGGGGGTTTCAGACCCTCCCCCTCCTCCCGCAGTGGCTGCTGACCCCCCGGCACTGTTACCGTGGATCCCCTCACTGACGTTGGCAATACCAGCAGCAGTGTTCTGCTCTGTGACAAGGCTGTCATTCTCAGCCACACGGGCAGGAAGAGCCACGGTGCGAGGCGCGCTCACCTCATTCAGACGATTTGCACAGCTCAAGCTGTTCTCTGTGATCTTTTCTCCCTCCTGCTTAAACCCGTCCACCTCATGGAGCGCAGACTGCTTCCATACAGTGACCGGCTGCTCTAGCACATCCCATGCTATTCTTGACCCCAAATCGCCCCCTTCTGAGCCCAAGTATGACCTATCTGAGGGGTCGCCGGGTCCCGTCTCAGGCTCCGTCACAATCCCTTCATCTGTTAAACTCGACTCAGGGCCCGAAAGTTCATCCACAGAGCGGTCATAGAACACGCTTTCATCCGAATCACCCCTCAGCGTGACTCTCTCCAGCTCTCCACTCTGTCTCTTTGACTTCTCCCAGTACTCTGTGCCCCTGCTGTTTAGCTTCTCCATCTGCATACTTTGTTTATCTCTCTCACCCCTCTCCCTCACCTTGTTCTCACTCTCCCTCTTATGTTTATCCTTGTCTTTTGTGTTCTCAAACCTAGCCCCTTGAGCTCTCCTTGCCTCCTCCTTTATGCCCTCCCCAGCCTTCTCCATCTCCTCGATTGTTTTCTTAAACTTCAAACAGTCAGCCCTAGAAATACTGTCACTTCCTCTTACAGCTACACAATCGTCGTCATCATCTTCCCTCGTGCTCATCTGGCAGATATCTCTAATGACCTGTCTGGCTTCCTGCACATACATGTCCTGCACTGGCATCGCTTCATCATCATCAAAATCACCATCAAATCCATAATCCCTCATTCTGCGCCCTCTCCCAACCCTAAAATCTCCACCATCACTTTCTACTTCCCTGTCTGACACCACCACCCTCCCTCCACTGCTCTCTCCATCCGAATCAAGCCGCTGCTCAGAGGAGCTCCTCTTTGTGGGGCCGCTTGTCAAGTAACACCTGGTGGCAGGAGCAGGTTTGTCTGAATAAGTAAAGGATTTCGCACGCCGCAAAGTGGCTGTCAGGTCTTTGAGAGACGGGCGACGCCCTGAAGATAGCAGGGTCCCGCCGTGAGCCCCTGAACCAATCCTATACACTGATGATGACCCCTCCCCAACCCCTGATCTATCCCCTCCACTTGATTTATGCACCCTCAGGCCCGGCAGGTCAGATTTGAGAAAGCTTAAGAGCGTCATAGTTTCTGAGGTGATATCAGGGTTGGATGTGGATATCTGGTGTTTCTCATTATCATTGACCCTACCCCCTGCTGTGATTTTCCTTAATCCCACGTTCTCACCACCTCTCTTCCCTGAAGATAACCCACTGGCAAATGCACTAGGCAACGGTGTTACAGCTGGCACAATCTTGGGGCGCACACGCACAGGGGCACGGGAGAAGTTGTCCCCATGGCCGAAACTCGGGGAGCGGTACATGGTAAAATTCCCATGGTAAGTTTTACTCAACATGGAAGACGCCGCCGCTCTACTAGTGCTACCTTCTGCTCCCCTCGTATTAAACAACACATTAGCTGCACGGTTGGCACAGCCAGCCAAGTCCTCCTCTTTCAGTGTCTCGGTGCTTGAGTACCGGCTGCTGCAACGTGACTCGCCGGGGCTGGACAGAATTGGGGGTATGCTGACCTTTGACACTCGCGACACACCTGGGAGCGTCACTGAGGTCACAGGTGAGGTGATGCGCTCCCACTGCTGCACCCTGGCTCTGTGACTGCTGGGTTCTCGTGCCGAGTGGCTCCGGGTTACCGCCCCGCCAAATTCCCCTCCTGTGTTTTGCTGGTGCTGCCTCTCTAGGTGCTCCATCATCACGGCCGCATCACTGTCACTGTCTTCTGATTCGCCATCATGATCGTCGTAGTCATCACGGCCTGTTATTAGAGCAGCCCCGCTGACTTTCTTCTTCTTTCTCAGCGAGCGCCGGCGGACTGCCTCTCGGCAGTGGGGGCCTAAGGAACCAGGACTGTCCTCCTCGCTGCCTGAAGACCTGCCAATGGCCTTTGTGCCCCACCAGCCATTTTTACTGCGGGATAAATAGCTGCCTGCTCGCTCTGTGTCACCCCTCTCTCCTGCTCGGTAGGAGACAGACGGAGAGGGCTTATAAGAAGCACTCCAACTGCCTCCTCTTTTTCTCCTGGTCTGCTCCTCCTCTTCGTCTCCAGAGCTAAACCTCCAGCGGGAGCTGAGGGGAGAAGCAACTTTCGCTGGGTGTGTTAACTCAGTGGAGGGAGCTACAGTGGAGGAGGAGGAGAAGGAGGAGGCGGTAATGGCTTTATCTGGAGCTGGAGCAGAGGAGAGAGAGGAGGCGGAGGGGGCTGGAGCTCTAGAGGAGCTATGTAAGGAATGTAAACTATCCCTGGGCAGCCCGACCCCCTGTCTATCCCTTCTCTCCCTCGCTGTCGGCTGGTGAAGAGAGGAGGAGCAGGAGGTGGTGTCTGAGCTCTCCGATCGACTCCGAGACGAAGCGGGACAGGGTTGAAGGTCAGGGTTAGGGTCAGATGTCAATCCTGTCGATCTGGGGGCCTGAGCCGCCGCCTCAGCGCTGGGACTATGAGACCTGTATGGAGATGATTTAACCCCGTGGTAGCGACCACAACTGCTACCAGAAGTGTTTCTGCCAGACACTCTGTTACTCTGACTGCGCGCCTCTACGTCTGCCTCCTCATCATTTGAGTGCCGAGAGTGGTCGGCTTTGGAGTAAAAGCACAAACCATACGTTAAAGTCTCTTTAGCAGCACCACTCTCTCTGCTCTGTACTCCAGCTAGGCACTTGTCATGAAAGGGCAGGTCACAGCCTTCATTAGCTGAGCTGCAGGGACACAGTCTGTGTCTCTCAGAGCTGCAGGTGAGCTCCTGCAGGTGGCCTTGGCCAGCTGCCTTTAAATCCTCACAAGCTTCAACAGTCTTGCCCTGCTGCAAAGGCTTGCTTTGCCTCTCATCAAACAGCTGTCTAATTTTAGTAACACTGGGCCACTTGTCAGAGTGCAGGGGATGAAAGTCAGTGTAGTGTGTGGCGTGATAACTTCTGTGGGCTTTGCAGGGTGGAGGAACCCCTCTACTGCTAACATCCTCCTCTTCATCTGGAGTCAAAGTCTTTGTGAGCTCAGAAGGAGGTGCATTAATCTGGGAATAGTCTCTCTTACCCGACTTGCCGCCGCTGTCGCTTGATAAACTTCTAAAGATCCGCTTGTCGCTTTTCCTGTCCGAGTCTGAGCCTGACACAGAGTCGGTGCCCGAGTGAAACTTAAGCGCTCTGCTGTCTGAAAGAGGTTCTGCTGTTGCGCTGTCACTATCCTGGAAATATCCACCACCAACACCGCCGCTGTCCTCATGAAAAGTTTTCCCAGGTGAAACCCCGTCACTCCTGGAGCCTCGGGCCCGGGGAAAAGTGCTGCTCCCCCGCGTGTCCGCTGCACAGTCTCCCGGCGAGGCTGTGTGCGTCCTGGCGGAGCCGCTGCTGTTACTCCTCCTGCTGCTGCTGTTGCTGAACTTCTCAGTCAGCTCGCGGATGGATGGAGAAATGAAGGAGAGAAGAGAGGGAGAGCCTCTCTTTGGCTCTGCGGTTAGGAGGCTGGCGGTGGTGGCAGAGATTTTGGAAACTTTTCTTGACACACTGACATTACGCGTCGTCGTCGTCAAGGGCTGCTCTGCTTTGCTGGGCTCCGGGGGAAGGGCGACGCCAACTGCCTCCAAATCCCCTGATTTGTGTGGCTGCTCTTCCCTCCTGTTGGCGCCCCAGGACCCCAGCTTTCTGAAAGAGACGCTGCGATACACAGCCGCATTCTTCTCCTCGCTTTCTGCCATTGTTCATGTCTTTTGTTACGGCTCTCACACACGCATTGGCAACTCCACGGGTAGCTGTTACACATCCAAGCACCTTTTCTTAGTTGTGGTCCATCTGCAGTTTAACCTAACAGCAAGAAAAAGGGGGGAAATGAGTGCTGGCAAAGCTTCATATTGCTCTGTAACGAGGTTAGTTAGATAAAAAAAATAAAGTGCTCAGTGAGTAAAGTAGGTGAGTGCTGCCCTCTTATCAAAAACTTACATGTTGTCGATTCCCGAAACCGTATCCGTGCCAAGAGGGAAAGCGATACAAGTTTTTTTCTTCTTCTTTGGCCCCAAATCTTCACAAACACAACTTCTCCATTGTTTTCCTCTCACTGTTTCTAATCGCCAGGCACGGGCCCTGCGCATCATTCCCTAATAATTCCCAAACTGTTTATGGACTCCCTGTTTTGGCATGATTTGCTTTTCCGTGACTTATGTTGTTTTTTGCATGTAAATGCCTGAGATAGAGGCAGAGAGGGGGGTGGCTGGGCGGGACCAGGGGTATAGGGGCAGTCATAGCCCCCCTCGGGGATTGAGAGGAAAAGCTTTTTTTCCCCCTTTTTGATAGGAGAGGGGATATACTGTGGACTAACAAGATGTAATTATAGCTCTTTCCCTTGCGAAAAAAAAACCCCAACACACACACACACACATACACACACACACACACAATTCTAAGTGTTTTGGACACTCCAAAATATTTATTTATTATTCAATACCTACAATTTGGACTTGCAACATCTTTATGAAACCTAAAGGATGTCAATGAAACCATAGGTGCTGATTTCCGAGATGCATTCAAGGTGTTACGTTTAAAAATCAGCCTTCAGGGGTAAAAAAAAAAATTCACAAAGGAAGCCAAAGAGTTTGAGTTACTGCACAGCTCCAGCAAACGTTGGTGTGATGGTGTTTGTGAATTACTGTGTCAGCATTCAGGGGGGGCTGATGGTGTTGGTGTGGTGGTGGCAGGGAGGATAAAAGTTTTCACTCGTGCACAATAACCCCTCTGTGGTGCTTCCCATGTGGCTGTCTGGTTAACAGGTCCTTTTGTTCCAACGGGGGAATTCTGTTTCACAGGCTGTGAGAAAAGTACACGCTGGCTGCAGCGCCCCCTAAAGGCTCACTCGTAACACGTCAGGTCAAAGGTGGAGGTTGATGGAAGAATCCAAACGAGCCCGGTGAGGTCAGCCCATCTATCTGTGATGGCATGATGCATTTAAATTGAGGTCATTTAAATTTAAATGACCTCGCAGGGTCCGAATGTGTTTTGGATTGAAAGGATTTTTGGAGTTTGTTTGATTGTTTATGTGTTTGCTAATTTTTTTTTTTAATTGCAGCAAGAAACAGTTTCAGGAGATCCCCATCAATTTATTATTATTTTTTTATATGTAAGCCTGTATGTGGAAATATGTGTGTATGTACGTACGCATGCATATATGCTTGTATATATACATATATGTATGGGTGTATGTATGCAGGTGTATGAATAAGTTGTACATATCTTTCTTGTGTAAATGTAAATCTGTCTGTGTTATTATGTAAATACTTACTTACGCTATTGTGTATTTCACACGGAGAGATGCCAAACTGCCTTTCATTGTTCTTGTAACAGTGACAATAAATAGCTATTCTATTCTAATCTATTCTGTACGGCTAATACTGGGCCAGATCCCCTTTTTGTCTTCAGAACTCTTTGTGCTAACCATTAGCGGCTAATGGACTGCAATCTGGTGACTGCGGAGACCGTTCAAGTACAGTGAACTCACTGTTGTGTTCAAGAAAACAGAGATGATTTTCACCTAGAGACCTGCTGCTCACTGGATATTTTTCTTTTTTCAGTTTATCTTCTATAAACCCCAAAGATGTTTGTGCAGGAAAAATCCCAGCAGATCTTTAGTTCCTGAAATACACTTAAATTACCTTTTTTGCCCCATTCTGATGCTTCGTTTGAACTTCAACTGCGTTGCTGCATTGTAATTGGCTGATAACACACTGGCGTTACCTAAAGGTTGAACAGTATAGCATGTAAGCAGATCACAAACTCTTAGATGATGTCCTTTCCTAGACAGTCATTTGTCACATTATTTAAACAGCTGTCATCATATAATCATATGGATTCAGAAGCTACTGGCTGCTTTTTTATATTCACACCTAAGGTTTGAATTCAAGTTCTGCCTAAACTGAAGGCTTGAAGTTAAACTACAGTAAAAAATGGGGGAAAAAAAGGAAGCGACACAGTCTACTCCCTCAGTATTAATATATGATTGTGAAAACATCGTGTTTTTCATGGCTTTTAATAGTTTCAGTTAGTACGACATGGCAACAATCAGAAACACAACACAGAAAATTAAGCATCTGTAGAGCAAAAAAACCAAAAAACTTCAGTTTTAGTTTTTCTATCAACATATCTATAAAAAAATAAAATACCATTCCCATTATTCATTTGTTAGGGAATTTGATAAAAAAAATAACTCTTCTAACTAATACTGACGTCTGGGTCTCAACAGATGATAGATGACTGTGACACTCACTTTTTCTAAAGTACAACACACACATATTACATGACTATTGTTACTATGCACAGATACACATGAGCACACATTAGGAAACTGAAGCACATCACCACCTCATACTGAGGTCAAAGCTGCACATTCACATTAGACTGACACATACAACAAATACTTAAAGTGTTAACCTGTTACAGGAGCTTCAGAGCAATACAATTTGCAAGCTGTTTTTCACATTGTCATTTCAGAATTTAACAACATACTGGTCTCAAGCTGGCAAAGTCTAGTGTAACATATGAGTTTGGCTACTCTGAAATCTTCTGGTTAACACGAATGTCACAAAATTATTAATCACGTTTATTTCACTCCACGGTAAGTGCATTGTTTGTCAAGAGCTCGTCACGGGGCAAAGACTCACTGTTTAAAAACATGACAAAGGTGCTCACTATGAAAGGCAGGTATGACATGTAAAACACAGGGCACATTTTTACAGTAAACATCAAAGTACACATATGTACATGCAGGCACATGCCATCTACATTTATGTTAATTTCATGAACATTTTAAGTCACCAGATCACGCAGCTGACAACCTACATCATACAGCTAAATCACGTCAAAGCAGTGCCAAGTACTAAACATTTCATATGTACAGGAATCCCAGTTAGACTGAAAAGATTCACACACTCATAAAAACCACAGAGTTAATTTAATGCCCTTAACTCCACAATCTGCCTCTATCTTTACCTTTAAATGACTTTTAAAAAATAGCTGAATTAAACATATAATTCAAACTGATTTCCTTCATTTGCTGCAGAATTTATAAGTACAAGACAGAGATCAGTCAGCAACTGACGGCCTATGTCAGTGCGCTGTGAGCTGCACATTTAACAGTTTTCTTGACAATGTTTTATGTGTGACTGTAAGATCTAATACATGCTAACATCAATACTATTATGACAAATGATCCACTTGGTAAAGTAAATCTGCTAGGCATCTTTCTTGGCCTTCAGACAACAATTCTGATGGCTAAAGATCCAAACGGGACAGGCAAAAAAGTCCAAAAACTATTATGACAGAGGCAGTGGGGCTACAGCAGTGGCGTGCGCACACCATCCAGTGGTTAAAACCCACAACAGCAGCTATTACGACATGGATAATATAGAAACGCATCACTTTCAAGGAAAAACAGAGCTACAGACCTTCATTGGAACGCATAACACTCCACTTTTAAATCAGTGAACATAAACTTCTGTTTTTTGCAGCCTCTGTTTGCAAAGTATACCCCCAACCCCACCTTTCAGTTCCTTTCCTCAGACTAGTGCTTCATGCAGATTCAACATGCAAGCATAAACACCACCAAAAAACAGTGCCAGAGAGGATTTTATCCTAGCAAGTTCAAATGAACTATTTTCTCCTTTCCTCAACTGCATCTCATTCCAGCACGATGCATCGCTATCACAACACCTCGCATAGATACTAAAATTCCCCAATAATTCAGTAGTTTCAATTTAAAGTACACGTCACAGTGTGTTAAACAATGCAAAAAAGGGGGGATTTCAGGAAAAAAAAAAGCAGTGCAGTGGAGCTTGAAAGTAAACATCACTTATGTACAGTGCAGGACGTTTTCATTAGAGGATTACAGTATTCCCCATCCAGAGTTATAAACCAAAATCTATGAATTTGCACAATCAAATACACTCACAGTCAGTGTGATAATAATTCCCAGTTCAAAACAATGCAAGCAGGACATTGTCAACATTTTCCATTCACACTGCATTGAGTCTTTATATGGCACTTCAGATGGCTTCTTCAGACAGTTATTAAACACATTTTTTAGTCACTAATAGCTGAAAGCCTCAAGGACAACAGTTTACTGTAATAAGAAAAGGAACCTCAGAAAAACAAGGTTAGAAAACTAATCCATCTCTGTGTTTTAAATCTTAACAAGGCTTCAAGGAGCATTGTTCGCTCACACGCTGCTGCCTTGGCTCTTTAGAGTGGTGACTCTGCGCACGAACCTCCTGGTGCTCCGGCGGTAACGTGGTTGCGTGAAGTAAAACAGAATCGGGTCCAGAAAGCTGTTCATGCTGGCAAACGGTCTGGTGCTCTTATAGATGATTGAGAACAAGTTTCTTGTTGTGCAGGGAGCATTGGGCAAGGTGCGCACCACCAGGTACAGAGTCTTTGTGAGGTGAAACGGGAGGAAGCTTATGCAGAACACCGCAGCTACAATAATGATCATCCTCACCGCCCTGTCTCGTTTATCCCCATGCGCTATGGAGACGCCCTGGTAGGACACTGGGCGGCAGAGGATGAAGGCCATCTTGCAGTAGCAAACCATCACGCCTATGAAAGGCAGCAAGAAGCCGAGGCACGTCAGAGCCATGCCGTAAGGATAGTAGTCTACCGAGTGCCCTGGCGTGCTCAAATCGTAGCACACGGTGCGGTTGCGCTGTTGCCCTGTTGCTGCAAAGTGGAAAGTTGGCACGCACAGGGAGCCAACCACCAGCCATACCAATCCGCAGACGCACCACACTATCTTGCGACCGCCCTGCTTGTGCCACACCGAGAGAGGGTGGCAAATGGCCAAATAACGCTGCACACTGATGCAGGTCAGGAACAGGATGCTGCCGTGGAGATTACTGAAACAGGAACACAGAGAAGAAAATGTTGTTGAGCTGAATATTATCACAATCCATTTGTATGTTCTTCAAAATCAAAGTTTTTTTTTCAAAAAAGTGCTTTTTTTAACAGAGCAAGGGACTTTCAGTATAGCATTTCTAAACTATTTTTTTCGTTTCTATTTGCACATGATAACAGAATTATTTCAGAAAAAACAAGAGACCCTGCTTATATTTGGAGAAAGAAGGGCAAGAATTAGCAGCAAAACTGGGTCCTCCCTTTGTCAACTCAAAA